CACCTATTTATCCTGTGACTTAGGTGGCAGCTCGTCAAACTTTTCTTCCTATCAAATCTACAGATATCTGTGTTTGTCATTCTTTAAAAAATAATAAACTGAATGCGTTTCGCAAGGAATGACTGTCAGATTCATCTGATTTATTATTAAGAAGGGCTTGTAAATCTAAAGGGTCAGCAAGGAAAAAAATTAAAAGAGCACCGACATGAAATTTTGAAGCCTTAATTTAGAATTCAGGTTCTACAAGAGAGCTGTGGGCAGAAGGCTCTTGAAGGTCAGTGCCCTTTGACTAACACGGGGGTGGCAAATGCTTCTTTCTCAAATCTGCATTCCAAGCTGAACTATGGGTCTCAAAGGGAAATGTAGAGTAAATGAGGGGCATGGACATATTTTCCATGTTAATGCTCTGAGCCAATATTTTGTCAGAATTAAGTCAGTATTTTCCTTACATCATAGAGAAAAATCACAGAACCTCCAGAACCTCACATCCCACTTGTGCTTAGTTAACTGACAAATAATGAAGAGGGGAAGGAAACCACTCCACAGACTTCCCTAATTCCAGCAGGTTTTAAATCTTCAGAGTAAAAGACATGTCCATGTATGAAAAAAGAAGCCTGCCCAGTGAGGTCCTGACACCCGGCCACGGGTGGGGAGCAGCATCTTGGCTGCTTTGCAGCAAAGATCTGGATTTCAGCTTTTGAGGGAGTTCTGTGAGAAGCATATGGCACTAAGGAACACCTCCTAAAAGACGAATGTTTTTCTGGGAGTCCAGCACAGAGAAGCGTCCCATGTGGGGCCCAGATGCTTCACTGCAGGAGATGAAACAGAAGTGGGTGCTTAGTGTGGATTGATTCTTTCTGAGGCTTTTCTCCTTCTGCTCATTGGCTTGGGGAGAGTAGAACTTGAAAGTCTCCCAAGTTCCTGTCTGTCTGGAGAGAAGCTGACGCTGGGTGGCTTCTGACATAGAGAACGCTTGCGACCCTGAAGGGCAGTTGAGGCACCTTCCTGTCTTTGTAAACGGGCTCCCCTTAGAGTGGCTCAAACACAGGACTTAGAGAACTTTGGAAATGGGAGCTCTCGCTGCTGTTGTTTCTATGGCCCAGAGCCATAGAATGGACGGCTAAGCGAGCCAAGCTCCCCTTGTGTATGAGATTGATGTCAGCGAGGACCCTGACATTCATCTTGTGCAGCCAGCACCAGTCCTTAAACAAGGTTTTGAGAAGCAAATCAACTTTAGAACCCATAAATTGATTTTTTATGAAAAAGAAAATCTTCAAGTAGTGAAAACGACCTCTGGGGCTGCAAAGCAGATCTCCAACAGGCATGGTCACCGTGAAGGGGTGGTAGCGAGCCATCTATACTACATAGTTTCCTAACTTCATTCTGAACAAAGACCGTGCCGTGTAGGTTTAAATCCAGTGAGCATGAAGGCTCACTAGTGGTGGTGAGAGCAGACAAAGAGGAAGCAGGAGGCTGTGGTGTAAGGGACTCTTCGGGAATGCCATTTGTAGGCAGGTTTCTGATACAAAGTGATGGAAGCAAAGGAGAGACTAGAGAGATGGCTTGGTGGATAAAGCACTTACTGCCCAAGTATGAGGCCTGGAGACTAGAACCCTGGAACCCATGGAAAGCTAGGCAGCCATGATGGCCACCTCTAATTCTAGCAATTGGAAGGCAGAGACTGGGATCACTGTGACAGACTGGCTAGCTGGAATGCCCAGGATTAGCGAGTTCTAAGTTCAGTGTGAGACCCTGCAGGAACAAATAGAGGAGAGCAATGGAAGAAGATATCCAACATCAACTTCGGACCCAAACCTCATGCACCTACACTGGAACACATGTGTACCCAGACATTGTGAATATATATATGCATGGACATATATACACTTTTCACAACACATATACATACACACAAATGTTAAAGAAAAAAATACAGAGACAGTGGGAAAAACCAGACAGGGAAACTCATTGACTAGCTTGGGCAGAAATAAGATTTCCCAGGATGCAAGTCAGCTATCAACAGCGAACTGGGAGTAACATCAGAGAAGTGGGTCAACATTCCACTTATGAGGAATCTTTCTGCGCATCTACTTTGAATCCTTTCCTTTGGAAAGGGTTACTTGACCTTTGTCTCAGTTGCTGGATCTCCAGTCTGGCGCTGAAGCTGAAACCTGAACTGCACCTCACTGCTAATAGAGGAGCACATCCCAGAGTTCTCCATGGTCCCTAGTTCCCAGACAGGCAGGGCAGGGTCTTGTGAGGTCTTCTCACAGCAGAACAGCTAAGGAGGAGAAAGTCAACGCAGGGGCATGAGACACTCTACCTAGGAAAGACTGACTGAATGAGAGAGAACTCTGGAAATTTCCTAAGCTTTCTGAAATCAAATCATGTCTGTTGTTGCGGTTAGGAGAATCTTTCCAAGAGAAACACAAGGTGCTATGAGGGTTTGGAAAAGCAGCTGCATTTCAAGCAATGCAGAGGCCCAGGCAAGAATGACGCGACTGCAAAGCTCAGACTTTCAGACAATGCTGTGTTTATTATGCAAAAACGCAGGACTTTTGTACAGAAAAAACCAAAAATCTTATCTGATATGTACCTGCTCTTCACAAGGTGTTTAGAACACACAATGAGGAAGGAGCAATTCACAATACAATAATTTGATACTACTTTTTCCTGAGGACAAGTAAAAAAATATTTTGAATTAGCTTTCTTGAAGCAAGTCCCGCAAAGCATGCATCTTTACCTAACATTTAATCCATGCTGAAAAGACTCTTTTTGTCGTTCTTTGGCTCTTAGCCCGGGAAAATAAGAAAAACTTTCTCTAAGGCAACTTTAAACTCTCAGAGGTCAAAGAACAAAAGGCTCATTCAGGAAAAGAGGAAGAGAAGAGAAGAGAAAAGAAGAGAGAGAGAGAGAGAGAGAGAGAGAGAGAGCGAGAGAGAGCCCTTCAACTACAGCTACGTACACGTTGGTGGTGAAGATGCCATAGATCAGGTCCAGCTCTGGAAGGAAGAAGGTGCCCTGCAGCTCACTGTAGTAGAATGGCACCTCCCCGGGCCGGGAACAGTTGAGGCGAGTCTTCATGAAGGTGGTCCAGGTGTCCTCCAGGAGGAACCGCCCCCCAATATCATTCTTGCAGACCCGCGCAGCCCGGGAGAACACGGTCTTCCCACAGTCATGCTCCACGGCATTTTCTCGGAAGAAGAAGTAGGTGAAGTTGCCAATGTCGTAGGAAGACACAAAGTTTGGTTCTGGAAATGAGAGGAGAGAAGAAAACATTAATAACATTAGTTGCCTTTTCTTTCTTGAAAAGTCTTATCTGATATTGTTTTCTTCAAAGGAAAGATGGCTCTGTTTGACAGAAACTAATCCTTACAAGAAATAAGAGGGAAACGAGAGACTCCGCAAGCAGTTCACTGATAAATGCTACAAGGAAGTGCATGGTTGTGTGTGGTTGTGTCATAATAAAAGATCAACAGTGTGACTCTATCCTCAATCATCCTGCTAAATCTACACTCAAGTCCACAAGGCAACAGAACCATGAAAAGCTCACGCATTTGGGAATATATGTATGCATAAATGCACAGATGCAGGCAACAACATGAATGACAAAAGAGGCCATGGATGTGAAAGAGAGCAAGGAGGGGTAAAGCAGAGAGTTTGCTGGAAGGAAGGGGGGGGGATGGTCCAATTGTATGATGATCTCAAAGAAACGAAACAAAACATTTGAAAAACGAAACAAAATAAGTGAGAGCAGAGGCTCACAGATCCGTAAGTGCTCCAGTGTTTGACAATGCTATGCTTCAGAAACAGGAAGCTCTCTTCTGAGGAAGGACTGAATGCACTGGGGAATAGCGGGCTCTAATACTGTATAAAAATGAAATTCATGCACACTTGCATGCTACTGGACATAACTGATATGCTTTCACCAAGGTCCTAAAAATAATACCTTTAATGGCAAAAACTGAATCAAAAACTCATACTGCAAGGTTGATACCCTGAATTAGCTTTCGCATCCGCTGTTACTATGGTGACCCTGCAACTGTGACAATCAAGCCTTGTTTTCTGATTTCTAGGTCACCAAGGGAATCGACAGACAGGAAATGAGTGTTGAAACAGAGTCTGGGAGCGCTATGGTCTCACAATCAGCTGAAATATAGGATATGCTAAAACGAAGGTGAAGCCTTTATTTAACCGTCAAGTTTATTGGGACTTGGGGGATTAGAGTTGTATGCAAAGTGTTTAAAGTATCATTGTCTTAATTTGAAGCTGAGCCGAATGACGGAGCTGTTAGGTTTTCACACACTTACATGCCCTAGTTTTTTGTTTTGTTTTGTTTTGTTTTTGAAAAACTCCAGTAACCAGTTCCACCTCTCATTCCTTCATTTAGTTTTCAAGACAATTTAATCCATCTACCATCTAGTACACATCAGAATTTTATGGTTTAATTAGGATAACTATGGCAATAGCCATCGATGTTCAGAATTACTAGAAAGACACAACAGCTATATAGACAAGGACTCCCTTTCCTGGCCAGTTGCTTTGTGGGGGGCAATTCACCTGGCCTTCTGCTTGACGATGTCTGATTGATTGCTTCTGTTTGCCTTCTATTGACAGGATGGCTGAGAACAGTCCTGCCAGCAAGATAAACCCTTGATGTTAATAGGACACAAAACAGCTCATCTAGGAGCTGGGACAGTCAGGACATAACATCAGTGCTGACCCTACTTTTAGCATGTGCAGCAAAGCTGTCACCAATTTCCAATCATCTCTTTCTCTCATCAAAAAAGTCTTAATATGACTACATTTTTGAAATAAATAAACATAACAACATATCTATTCTGCTTTTCTCTTTAGCTCTTTCTAGTGCTCTTATGCAAATTATGTAAAGCAAAGGATGCATAGAAAATCTTGACAAGAAATGATTTTAATTTCTATGCCACCATGTATTTGTTTTCTAGGTCACTGTTGCTTTCTAACCTGAAAGAGATACATGAGAAATACACAAGCTGAACTGCACGGAAGCACATGGCATGCATGAGGGATGTGTGCACAGTTAGTGCACAGTTAGGATCCTGGAGAGACACTCACAAAGTCAGGCGTCTACACACGGCACAAAAAAAAAGAGTGAGGGATTTTTAAGTGATCGCAGCTAAGAATTTCGAGTAGAGAATTATTGCAGAAACAGACACCCAAATGAAAGAGAGGGACCAATGACAAAGCTATAGTAAGTGTTTCCAGAGTCACCTGTATGTGGACGTTCACAGAAAAGGCTTTCAATTCATTTCAGAGTGTATCCTGTACACAGGTTCAAATGGCCAGGTTAGAACCTGAGAGCTATACCCAAAACAAGCAAAATCGCCCACCGCTGCCGCCATCACCTTGACAATGAGAATCACCACCACCTCTGTCACTACTTCCTTGACTACCACCACCTCTACCACTACCACGATTGCTGCTGCTGCCACCACTACCACCACCACCATCAATAACAACAGTAAAGCTGTGTGAGCTGGAGGAGATATGGATGGAGACACTACAGTCTAGTAGTTAAAAGTGCGCTCTGCTCTTCCAGAGGATCCAAGATAGACTGCCAGGAGACACACCAGGAAGCTCACAACTACGTGGAAGTCCAGGGGACTCATTACCCTCTTCTGGACCCAATTACCAATACGCTCATATGTGTACATCCACACACAGTTTTACATAGTTAAAAATAAAATGAACATTAACCAATGAACTTGACAAAAATGCAGACAGCCCCGGAGCAGGTGTTCTGCCTGTGGCTAATGTTAAGGGTACTCAACCCGAAAGAGTGAGGTAGAATTCACCAAGATTTATCAAATCCCCTCACAGAGCGTCTTCTGCCATTAATATGTGTTGAGTGTGTGAAAACGCGTGCTATATAGCTCTAGTACATTAGAACTATTGAGTAGGAGACCAATCACAAAGTCTTCCCTTTGAGTTTCTAATAAGAAGAGCTGCACTCTGAGGAACTAGTCCTTGAGCTGTCTCTGTGCCACTGGACCCACAAGGACTTTACACCACAGAGATGGCTGATGTGTTAAGATGCTGCTTCATAGTGAAGGACGCTAAAACGTTTAACAGCTCAGCCAAGATCACAAAGCAGCATCGGGGCTTGGGAGAGAACTGAGGAAGCCCAGAATGGCAAACCTTAGAGCCTGCACGCTCATTGTGAAAAAGAAACACTGGGAAAAAACAAAACATATGACTCTTTCATTTCTTCAAAACTGGATCGGGGCAGAGAAGATAGCTCAGTGGGTAAGAACACTTGCTATACAAGGGAGAAGACCTCAGTTCAAATCCTAAGCACTCAGGAAGCAGCCAGATACGGCTGTGTGTGCATTTGAGAGAAGGGGCAAGTGGGTCCCAGGAGCTCACTGGCCAGCCTGCCTAAACAAAATGTTGATTCACAGGTTCAGTAATAGGCCCTGATTCAAACACTAGGCAGAGGACCCAAGAGTAAGACATAACAAGTTATTTCCACTGCCTCCACATGCTCAAATACAAACCTGTGTGCCTCCGTAGATGTGTGCACATACGCTGCACACACAGTGTATAAACACATACACATACACACATATACTATAATATGATTAGATTTTTGGTCAGTGTTCTTCTATGAAGAGCCATAATCTTCTCTGACAGTGTTAAGTAGATTTACTTGGCCACAAGCGAAGAGGATTTAGAATGGACTGGAAAAGATTGTTAAGTAGCTAGAGGAAATAATTCTCAGGAACATTGTGGTTGAGGAAGGAGGAAGGAACAGTGTGAAGCTGAAGCCAGCTGTTCAAGGGCTTCATGAACGAGAACATCGCTGGGAGCGTGTAAGCAGTCCCAGAACTGCAGGTTTAGAGGAACGTCCATGACTGGCCATTAGGCGCTCTTCTAGCACATGGTCCACTCTGTCTCGTGTCCTTTTCCCACGGGAAAGGTAAGCAGATCGTCCCATGATGTGGGAGAATTGTCTGTATTCTGTCAATCATGTTTTAAATAAACGCTGTTTGGCCAGGCAGGAGGTGTAGATGGGAAAACCAGACAGGAAGTGGAAATGATGCAAGGAGAGCAGGAAAATTCTGGGGAGGAGGAAGTTGATTCCTTCCACTTCTGCCCAGATCATCGAAGCAGCAGGATGTGAGCTGCCCCACTGAAAAAGATACTGAGTCACATGGCAAAAGTAGATCAGAACAATGGGTTAATCAAGATATGAGAGTTAGCTAATAAGAAGCCTGACTTAAAGGGCCAATCAGCTTTATAACTTACAGAGTCCTTTGTGTGATTTTTCTCTGGGACTAAACAGCTGGGGGGCCGGGCAGGACAGAAACCCCCAAACAAGCATGCCCCCTCTTGTTACAGTCCCACAACTTCCATCCTCCACAGAAGGCCTCCCCTAGCATTTGCAAGCCTGAATGGCAGTCATGCATCAATAGAAAGGCTCAGATGCACCTTTCTTTCTTACTTGAGAAAACAGAACCTGTACTGAGCCTGCAGGATCTGTTGCTCTCCAGTCTCCTGCACCGCAGGTCATTTGGCATGGGAACTGAGTCCATTTGGAAACATAGCCTGCTGCCCTACAGTGAACCTTGGGATGATGATGGGTCTCTGACTGCGTGACCAGCTGCTACATTAGGAAGCTCCATTTCCTGGAGAGCAGGTTTTTTGAAATTCATCTAGCATCCTTTTCCTTTCCCAAACACTACAGACACACCAAAATACTGATCAAACAGGCAGCCAAGTATCTTTTGTGTTTATGGAGGCAGATCTGGAAGAACAGGGCGCCAGTGTTGTCAGACAGAATCACAAAACGCACACTGTCTCCTAGTATTTGACCCTTGTCTCTTGTTAAAATGCAATTCACTGCAAACTAGTATGTATCTTTCTTGAAGGAATTGAACAAGCCATAAACCGGGCATTGATGTCTTTCTTCTCTATGATGGATATTAGGAAGAAGAAGCTGATATATCATTTATACATCATTACTATCAGAGCTACAGATGAATAGAAGCTAGAAAAGTAGAAAGCTGACTCATTCGGAATAGAAAAAACCATGGTTCTAACTGAGCATGTCTATAAATATGTGGATGGAGAAGCTGACTTTTCTCATATTTTTAAAACATTGAACTACAGATTATAGAATATTATGCAACATATGTCAGACAAATGACGAGGGTTAGCCACCATGACATCAGACTAGTGCTTCATTTCACAGGATGATGACTGTACCCGGAGG